TTGAGTGGGCAGCAATCCAGACAAGCAGAGGTACAATACTGGTGTCAGCTGTCACCCACCAGGTCTCATATTCTTACTCAGTGTATTGCATGGAATTTTAAAACAATTCCTTGTCAGGAAACCACACAGCAGCAAGCTCAGAATTCCTGAACTTACAAAATAAGCCATGGAAACACTGTGGTGGAAATATAATAAAGCAATAAAGCACAAACTACACAGACATGAACAATTTGGCAAATGTTCCCCAATCAACCCCACTCAGTGACCTAGTCATAGCATGAGCAATGTCCTTTCTTCTTTCTGCATTAAAGGGGGAGTGTGGTCAGAGGAAACACTGGATGCCAAAAATGCCTGTGTTTCCATTCAGCTGGCGAGCAAGGTTCAATGTCTCCGCTCTAGTCTTTCCAACTGTAAAATGGAGTTGGTAATAAAGAATACCCTGACCTAACTAGTTTTTGATTTTAAGTTGAGGATATCCATTCACTATAGGGCCTCAGGTCATAATAACCACTAGGGGGAAAATCACTATAACCATAAGAAATAATTTTGTCTCTGACCTTTTGGAATGAAAAAGTGGAATGTATTTCATCTTTTTCATGGAATGTTTTACTTTCCCATGTCATCTCACCTATATTGGTCTTCTCACCATATCTGTACAAGGACCGAAAACATTATGTATATCAGTATTTCACAATCTTTTTTTTTTTTTCATTATTAACCACTAAAGGAAACTTCTTAGGTATTCCCCCAACCCCCCAATCATCTCCCCTGATTCATGGAATATTCAGGGATATGCTGAATATCTCTTTATTTACTGTGTCCCTTGGGAGGGCCACAAACTATTGTAAAGTGAAGATGTCTATGCTCCCCAAGAATCCATTTTCACTCCCTAAAGCAATATTACCCCTCCTGAGGGTCATGATAAAGATGGACAGATCTCGTTTACAACATGTGTTCAGGGCTTGAAAAGTGACCTTTTACACAGCAGGGACTTTTTTTTTTTTTTTTTAAGTAATCTCTAGTAGTCCCAGTGTGGGACTCGAACTCACGACCCTGAGATCAAGAGTCACATACTCCACAGACTGAGCCAGCCAGGTGCCCCTACACAGCAAAGATTTAAATGAGTTTCTGAAGAGGCTTAGAATACTGGAAAGAATATGAAGAAAACAGGTAATCCCATATGACATCAAAGCTGAACCTCACCTGGAGAGGTATAGATTCCTAACCTCACTTCTCTAGGACCACAGTGCCTTAGGGCTGACAGCACCCCTAAATGGCCCCAAGCCTAACTTGATCTCAGCTATAACCTAGCTTCATCTCTGAAGGAAAATTCCATCAAACACACATCTCTTGGTAAACATGCAAAGGATTCTGTTAGGTATTAGAATTATAAAAATAAATGGCATATAATGGCTACCATGGAAGAAATCAGAACCATGGGCAAAGGCATGTGCAGCTTTGGTTTGGCACCTTTGGGTGTAGAGCTGGAGTCACAGAGGCAAGGTGGCCTTACCGGGGCAGACATGACAGGAGCAAGGTCTAAATGAATCAAGTGGACAGGCTGTGTGTGCACATACACAGTGTGAGCAAGGGGGATCTTGCAGCAGGAGAGTGACTGTGTGTCTTGCGTAGAGAGTATCAGCTCCAGCCAAGTGGCCTAGTGGGTCAGATCTGAATTTTCTGCATTGTTACACAAAAGCTGGATTTTATGTCAAATCTCCTGATGCGGAAGTGTAGGCTTAAAATTTTAAAACCTTTTGTGGCTTAAAACAAAGAAACACAACTGCAGGCAATATAGGACTATCAATATGTAAACTATTTGCAAACAAATGACAAGAAAAATGTCCTCACTTCCTTGAGCAAAGAGGCTCAGATTCTAAGGTACTTCTCACATCACAGAAAGCACTGAATGCTGATATGAAGCTCCTTCCTTTATCTAGTACATCAATAAGGCACTAATTCAACAGACTAATCTGGTGGGTAATTATGCACAATTAGTCATATCTTTACCATTTAAGAAAAATCAAGGAATAGTATACCCTAACTACTCATAAAGAAATTTAAATGGCACCCTTCTATAACCACAAGTGGAGTAGACTTCTGCATGATTTTAGTATATCAGGAGCTCTTCATAATCACTGATTTCACCTATACTTAACGATTTAGTGATGGTGCATTTTCTGCCTAGACAAAGTGTAACATCACCAAACTAGCATTACCCTATGTATGCATTTTAAAATTCCCCAAACATGTAAATAATTATATTTCCCTAAAATTTTAGTTGATATAAAGGCACAAATGAATCATAGCCCTAGGCCCAATGGCTTAGCTTTTTCATAAATATAAACATTTTTTAGTAGTTTGAAATCTTTTAAAATACAGTCCCTCCTAAGTCACAGCAGCTGTGCCAACTGTATTCTCCAATCTCGGGAGTTCTGCCAGTTAGTTCCATTTATTTTTCTTCATTTTTTTTATACCATGACTGTAATATAAAATTAATCCAAAGTTTTGTATTTTGCTGACAAACAAATGCAGGATTTCAAAGCAGTGTCACTGAGAGACTAGAACGATGTCAAAAAAAAAAAAACACAAAAAAACAAAACCAAAACAGTAATGTATTGGAGAGTTTTATAGTAGTTATGGGATCAAGATCAATGGCCAAGACAAAGTCAATGCAGAGAAAATTACCTTATTTGTAAACTCTTTAGCTAAGATCTGAATGATAGGAATAGCCTTTTATAAAATAAGTGAATTCTCTTAGTGATATCAGAACTTAATGTTAATAGCCGCGAAGTGCTATTACAGGAAAATTACAAGCTGACTCTTTCCTAGTCATTAAATATTGTTAGCACACTCTAGTTTTGACATACTAACATAAAAGATAATAAAGCTCATAAATCAATTGGCGGTCTGCTTCTAAGATTTACTTTACTCAAATTGGTCAGTTAGAATATTATACTGAATATCCTTTTAGCTACCTAAGCATAGGGACCTCATAGAGATGAGAACTTCTGAACAAAGAATGGAGAAAGAAGTGTATAGGAATCATCACCCAAATGAAGGGAGATCCTTAATTATAATGGTTTTAGAATTTTTATCTCAAATTTCTCTAAATTTCCGTTATCTTATGATAAAAACTGAATGCAATAAGTGTCTACGATCAATCAGTTTTTCACTTCTGTTCTGTTTCTACTTCACCTAGACTGAACTAAGACAGACCCTGAATGAAAAGTCCAAAGTTGGTAGTTCCCTGAAGCTAGTCCTTGGCCTGTGTTGCTTCAACACAGAAGTTTTGACTAGTTCACATCAAAACAAGAAAAACAAGGGTGACAGGAAGTTTTTCATATGACTGAATTTATACAGTTTGTAAGATTTTTTTTTGTTCTGAGGCTACCCTTTTCATTAATTTGTTGACATTAAAAAGTTTACTTTATAAAATGATATGGATAATAAATTGGAGCTTCCCTTGAATTTTTCAAGTGAATGTATTTTTCAAAAGACAAGGTTGGTGAACTTTTACTGGCTTCCTCTTTAATTTTAATTTCTACTAAATCTCAAAATCTAAAAACCACTGCTTTGTGTGACTTAGAATATTTGTCTAATTATCTATAGGAAGGTACCCTGGTGCTTGGACAAGGCCTCTGCCAGGAAAGGACAGGACAGGGAAAGGGGAAGGTGGGTCCTGAAGGGTAAGCCCTGGGGCTCACCTCCAGGGAATGAGTTGCCCCCAGCCCAAGTCTAAGACCAGGACAGCGGGCTTCACCACTTAGCTGTGTATTCTTATCACCCACCTGCTCTGAGTTCACTGTGACCATGTTAAGAGGCTGCTTCCAGGTGCTTCTAGTACAAATTCATGAGTCTAATCATTTGGGCAATTCACTCTGTGACTTTGGAAAATGACCAATGACAGCATGAAAGCACTGACTGAGATGTCAGTATTGGGATGATAAGTGATATAATGGACCCGTTGACTTCTGGCTTCTCCTCCAGGCATGTGAGATTGAATTGAGGTGAAAGGAGTCAAGGAGACCTCAGGGTAGAGCATTTTGCCAAGTCCTTGACCACCTCTCCTTTGATATCTTGATCAAGAAACACACTCCATGCTTCCTTCATTCTCCTCATTTTCTCTTCCATTCCACACACACAGGCATGCATTCCTGCTTTCTTCTTGCTACACAAAAGGAGGTTCAGACAGAAACCCTGCAGGGTCCTCTTTGGTGGTGTTTGAGACTGTGATAGTGGACAATAGGACAAATCTCAAAACCTACAAAAATTTGTGGCCAAACTCAAAGGGGTCAGACCTTGGGATATTAACCTAGTTAATATTTCTTTCTAAAAGTTACTGATTCTAGACTGCAGCAAGACTCAGTGGCTAAACTCAACTGCTTTCAGAAAGAAATATTATTTCTCTCAAAGAGAGTAAATACTAACCAAACAAAACATGCAACCCAAATGAACACAGATTGCTAACAGAGAGGAAACCAAAAACAGCAAAAACTCATCATAAAATACTAAGAACCTATCATAATTTCTCAAAGGTTCAGTTGAGTTCACTGGTATTTTCTAGCTCAGGTGGATATATTTCTTTTCCTCAGCCTAATCAACCATCCCTTGAGGGATTTCAGATTAATTTATTAGCTACTTCAGATTTTTTTTCTTTAAAAAAATAAACAAGCTGATAGAAACTATGAACTCTGTTTCCTGATTGGGAGACTGAATTCGCCACATGTGCCCTGGCTTCACAATCCCACAAATAAAACACACCCAGGAAAGCAGCTGCCTCTGGATTCGACTCACCCATTTTTCCCCACGTGAGCATGTGCACGTGTGTACGTGCACACACATGCACGCTGTGCCCACTGTGAGAACAGGGTGCCCCATCTTCAGGGACATGGCAGGAGACACCTTCCAATGGGAGGTGGCATGGCGTGTCCCTTGACCCTTGACACTTGCTGGCATCAACAGCCTCGCTCAGGTTGGGGGAAGAAAGGGGTGCTGACCTGTACTGGCTCAGGGGGAAGCTGGACCACGTGCTGCATGCGCTCGCTGTGGTGATGCCTTGACTCCTCCTCATAGATCACATCCCTCTCATGCTGGGGAAGGTTCAGGAAGCGACGGATGGTACACAGGTTCTCCCAGAGTGTGCGGTTCTCTGGGCTGGGGTTCTCCTTCCAGCGGAGCAGTTCACACAGCCAGCCCTAGAGGGAGAGAAGGTCACTTGAGTTAATGTGTAGGGTGCAGAGCAGCAGAGGATAGCCTGACTGAGGTCACAGTCTGACAACTCTGAAGAACCAACCAATGACCACACAGGTGGTTACACCAATGCCCCGAAATCTTCATTCTTGTTAATGATCTTATCACCCTTCCTACTGAATATATTTTCAACTAATTTACAGTTCCTTTTTGTAAAAGATACTCAAGCAAGATTACAGTTATCTGATTCTCAAAAAAAAAAAAAATTCATTTCATGTTGATCAGCTACAATTTTTAAAGACTGCCCAATTGGATACTTTCCATTCTAAGAAAAATGTGAAAATGAACAAATATGTATTGACAACATAGTGAATTCTAAAGAAGGAGAAACATTTAAGTGTAAATAGCACCGAATTCTCTAGGAAGGAAATAGTCTTAGAATTATCAATAACTCCACAAAATAAAAACAACAACCTTAGCGAGAATGAAAAAGTTATATGTGTTTTCAGTCTCTGAATGCCTTGGGCCCTAGGCCCACTTAACCATCACCGTCCCGCCACAGCCACACCTGCAGGAAGGTAGGCAGTTGGTCGGGTCACACCTGCAAATGTGCTCCCAATTCTGGCATCCGGATGTTCTCTCGCTTGAAACTGCACGAGAAAGAAAATGTAATGCAAATAATGATGGATTATATGAAAATAATACAGAGGATGCTGTCAACATCGCTCACTGACTCATGTCAAAATATTTTACCCAGTAGCTTTCTAACCCATCATTTCCAAGCTACATCGCTAATTTTAAAAACAAGAATTGTCCCACATCACGCCTCTTGCAAAAGAGTAAGAATTTTTCTGAAAAGGTGCGTAAAGAAACACAAATGACTTTGTAAAAATTAAATCCCGAATCCCAACAAATTCTATATCATAACTTGTAAGCCAATGAAAGTTCCTGACATGCATTATAAAAACCCCATATAATATCGTAAGCTGTTGTTTGTCTAACTCTCCACTGTGTCTTCTGCCTTTACCCAAAAAAAGGCAAGATTTGATTATCTCCGCTGCATCAGCCAAGACAGCAACACCAGCTGTTCTCATTGTGCAGCCTCTTCCTCGCGGCCTCCATGTTAATAACCTGATCATTCCATTTTCTCCTTCAACTGCCGGCTGCAGCACCGCGAAGAGACAAAAACCCAGGCCCATCTGCAGCAGCTGTAGGCACTGAACTGTGAAGCCACTGGGGATTTATAAACTAATCTGTAACACAACACTGCCTTGTTTTTACAAGTGAGAGGCCACATTTGCGCAGACCTGATCTTTTCTTGCAATAAACTGGGAGCTGGGGAGAGTTAGAGGGTTAGGAAGAATGAAAACAAGATATCGAATCATTTGCTTGGAAATGTTTTTCCAAGTATTTCCATAGATTTCTTTCAAGTCAATTGAGAGACAGGTAAATGCTGATTTTCAAGGTGCAACGTGTATGAAAACTGAAGACAATTAAATTTTTTATCCCTATCAGGAAATAAACTATATTTTTAAAAAATCTCCTAGTCCCAAAGTATTTCCTCAAGGGTTTCTTTGTACAAAGGAAAGAATTCTTGAAATGGAAAATAAGCCATCTGTGGAAAACTGAGCTCCTATTTCTCTATCTCTATACAGATCTGAGTCTCCAACCGAACTCTTTCAAATGTTTCAAACAGGTATGTTTAACATCTCCCAGGGGAGCCTATAGCATAGAGACCAATCATTTAACAGAAAATAAAAACAAAAACCTACATCTGTTAAAAGATGAAGTTCTGAGATACCCAGACCTTAAGGAGGACACAGCACCTGCTGTTCCGCCTGAGGAGTGAATTGCATTGTGGGAAGCTGCAGCTTGAAAGGAGACAGGTGACAGCTGAGTGGTATCTCCACTTATGATACTCGGAATGTCTCGCACAACATTCATTGCTGCATTTGATTTATATGCGCTGTTATAATCTGCACTCATTACAATCACTTAGAACAAACTACAGGCCTCGTTATGGACTGTGTGCTGTCTGCCATCAGTCTTTAAGAAGTGTGGTGCTCAATTTGCCCACTGACATGCAAGGTCCTGACCTTGAAGCTATTAGGGAGCAGATTAGACACAAGTGTGATCATGTGTGCAGGCATAAGCAAACCAAATTAATTTCTGGCACAGGGAGGTAGCCAACAAGACCCTGTTCTTAGGGAACCAGAGAACTTCCTCAAATCCCTGATGGAGCTGAGCTAATAGCATGTTTAAGGGAACCCGGTTTTGAAGATGAAGCACATTCATGGTATTTAGAGGGTTATTAATCTAGTTTCCCCACAAAGTGTTTGCTTGGCTGATCAGATTAAGGGATGGAGCCTTCCACAGTGCACCCCCACCACAGCAGGCCCCAAGAAATCTGTGATACTTCACAGCCTTGGACATATTGCACCATGTGTACCCAGCTGCTTCAATAATTAGCTTATGAATGTATCAGCTGGTTCTGTGATTTTTATAAATAATAACTAACCTACAGAGCAGAAAGACTGTCGAGAGCCTTACAGTAGCACAAAACTGCAAGGTGCTCCTAACTCTGACTTGCTGTTCCACTGAACGCCGATATCTCCTACTAGTGGGGCTCCTGTAATGCCATTTATAAATATTTATTTTGCATTTGAAATGGCCATCTATGTGTGTCAGTTTTCTTCACAGCAGCCATAATTTACTTTCCTTTTGCTCTGGCTCACCACTCATTCCACGTATTTGTAGCCTTACCTTCCGAAAATCTATTCTCCCTCCCCACTTCCCATCTCACCCTCCATCTTTTTATTTACTTGATCCTTCCACCGACCCATTCGGGATGCCTATCTCTGTTTTCTCAATGGGGGTCTCTTATTAGCTTGTTTAGTGGCTAATGAATGTGTGAGAAAGTGCCATGTTGCTGCATGAACACACATGTATGAAACTGTGAGTGAACCCACCACAGAAGAGATAAAGAGTCCCCACATTGGGATTTTTTTTCATTTATATAATTTTTGCGTGCCATCCAAGAAAGTTTTGCAGTATCAGGAAAAAAAAAAGTGTAAATGTCAAATAAAACAGTGACAGATGACAGTATTCTCTATTGAATAGCACTGTTTCTGTCGTGCATGTTCAATGGGAACTCATGAATTATTAATAAACAAATCTCCTTTTTCTGTTAAAAATCTCAAGTAGGTTTTTTGTTGTTATTCCCTGCCGTGTTGTGTGGAGAATTCCAGGAGATTTATTTTCATTTCAGAAATGCTGATACAGAAGTGTATCTGATTTCCAGTCCTGGTCAGCACTGGGAGCAGGCACCATGAACTACAGGTATATACCTATCTGTAATTTCTCTTTTAGTCTGGCTGTAAATTCTGACCAAAGGTTAGTTACATATTCATATAGTCAGGTTAGCCTTTCTAGTATGGTAAAACTGAGGCTAAAAAGTGAGTTACGGCCAGGAAGCTCAGAGAATTTTCAACTTTGAGCCCTGAGACTAACTGCTAAGTTCCTGGTCTGACATTAAATGATTGGGTTACCGTTGGGCAAGTGGTTACCCTCTTACAGCTTCTGGAATATAACCGCAAAAGGAGGGGTTTACAAAAGATGGTCTCTAAGTTCCCTTTCCAGCTCCACATTCCATGGTCTGTTACCTTGTTATTTGTCAGAAATAGCAGATAATAATTAGCGATCAGGGTTAAAGTACAAAGAAACCACCTTAAGCGGGTGATTAAGGGCAACATCACCAGTGATAACATATGGACATCATGAACCCTGTGGTATGACGCACTCCAAAGGACACAACACAGTATCTGCAGAAGTCTTGCCAAAAATGCATAACCCCAGTTGAATCATGACAAACCCAAATTGAGAGATGTTCAACAAAATAACATATCAGTATTCAAAAGTGGCACTGTCATTAAAAAAAAGAAAGAAAGAAAGAAAAGAGAAGCGCCTGAGTGGCTCAGTCGGTTAAGCATCCACCTCTTGGTTTTGGCTCAGGTCATGATCTCACAGGTTCGTGAGTTTGAGCCCTGCATCAGGTTCTGAGCTGACATCGAGGAGACCGTTTGGGATTCTGTCTCCCTCTCTCTCTGCCCCCCACCTTGCTCATGCTGTATCTCTCTCCTTCAAAATAAATAAAAATAAACTAAAAAAAAAGAAAAGAAAAAGGAAAGACCGAGGAATGGCCACAGACTCCAGAAAACTCAAGAGAAATAAAAACCAAATGCAGTGTGATTCCTGGATGGGATCCTGGCACAGAAAACGGATATTAGTGGGAAAACTACTGAAATTAGAATAAACTTTTTAGGTTAGTTAATGGTATTAAAACAATGTTAATTTCCTGGTTTTGATAACTGCACCGTGGTGACGTAAGATGCTAACAACAGAGGAAGTGAGGGTTATATGGAAACTGCACTATTTTACAACATTTCTGTGACTCTAAAAAATTTGTTAAAAACAAAAAATGTCAAAAAAAAACCTACGTAGAAAAATATCCATGGAGTCTAAGTGTAATGATGACAAGGAATTTATGATTAAAACTCGTTTACCTTCAAACTCTGAATCCAGAGAAGGAATAGAAGTTTAAAGTCTGCATCCTTGTAATCAATGGTTAAAGAGTTCCCAAGCATTCAATGCATAAGTATCTATAACATCTCATTTTAGCCATCTAATCAGCCTCTTAAACAAATGTTTCCTTCAGTCAAAAACACAGCTCTGACCACCCTTTCCAACTATGCAGGTGAGGAGACACTCATACCATTCAAGATATAGTTTGTTTACAATCCATATGTTCCGGAAAAGTTGCCTGCCAATCTAAATTTACAAAGCAAATCATGTTGTAAATGTATTAGGAATCTTTACTACTTGAAGGAATGTGCCATTGTTTCTTTTTAAAAGATGAATAATCCCATAGTTTATCTTTTAGTGAATGGACAGTTTTAATTAAAGATCTATTGGGGCGCCTGGGTGGCGCAGTCGGTTAAGCGTCCGA